CCATCAACTCCGAAAGCAGGCACTGCCTGGAGGCTGGAGTCAGCTCCAGACAAGGCAGTCAGTAAGAAAACTTAACTGAAGAAAATAAAACCTACTGAAAGCAGAAATAGTTCTGTTTCAGCCAAACCAGGACAGCGCGGCTTCACCAGCGCAGAGTACAGAGGGACGATCACTGCCCTGGTCCTGCTGGCCATGCTATTTCTGATACAGGCCAGGATGCCGTTGGCCTTCTTGGCCACCTGGGCACACTGCTGGCTCATGTTCACCCAGCTGTCGACCAACACCCCCAGCTCCTTTTCCACCAGGCAGCTTTCCAGCGACTCATCCCCAAGCCTGTAACATTGCATGGGGTTTTTGTGACCCGAGTGCAGGACCCAGCACTTGGTCTTGTTGAATCTCATACAGTTGGTCTCAGCCCATCGATCCAGCAATAGTGTGTATTAGCCATTAGATGACAATGTTTTTCCCCTTTTTTGTACCATTCTATTAAATATAACATAGAAACAAAGTTCAATTATTTGTGCCGATCAATACAAAATTAAGAACTTACCCTAGGAAAAAATTATTTGTGAAGTGCCCTGTCAGTATATCACACCAGTAGGAATTTGTCAGATTCCTTCTCTAGGTTCCAACCCCTAGCTGGGGAACCTATAATAGAAACATGTTTTTCAGTGTATTTATTTCTTTGAGATTCTTGCTCAGACATCTTATATCCAGGCTGGTAGTGAAGAATGAGAAATCCCCTGTTGTAGTAACAAGAGCCTTGTAGTTTGGACTCTCCTTGCCTAGGAAGTTCCTCACTGGTGGGAATAATTTACGTTTATGGCAGATAAACTCCTATATGTACTTACAAAATCTGACCTGCAACCCACTCCCCAAAAGAGCAAGTGAGAAAATTTGGAAGCTGTGCTTTCTTAATAATTATTCTTAATCAAAATCTACATTACTTTGGACATTATGGACTTTTATCAGAGAAAAACATTGCTGAACCAACCAGTAAGTGAACTAGAAGGGGAGAGGTGTAGGAGGAAGTTTTTCTTAGCCCTTTTTGACCATCTGAAGGGCTATTTTAAGACATTGCCAGCTTTGTTCCAGTATTTCGAAGGCTAGCACACAGCAGGTAGCAGTGAGGATGCCCTGCCTGGGAGGGGTGTAGAGACATTGCTTGAAAGCGCAGGGTGAAGACAGGAAGGCCAAAGCTCGGCAGAGATGCGATTAGCCGTGAAAGGTACGGAGCACTGTGGTCCCTAAAACCCAAACTATTGCATTCTCTTTCTCCTTTCTTCCTGCCCTTATTATGGGTTTGTTGTTCAGGGTTTTCCCCCCACACACACACACATACTTTTTAACACTAGGAGGAGCTGAGGAAGGTACGCTTGCAGACAAAGAAGTGAAATGGAAAATGTTACCTCTGAATCCGTTTGTGGTTTAGTCTGTCTGCCAAAAAGCCTATTTCCACCCCTGGTTGCGTGGGTGGGGAAACCCATTATGAATTTTCATTTCTCTCCCGAGTTGCTATGCTACGACTGCTGTTCCTTTTGCAATGTAATTTGGCATTCACAATCTTTGGTGCTTAGATAAAACCATTACTGTAGGGCTGCCATTTATTTTTCCTTCTCTGAAAGCTTACTTGCTGGTGACTTTGTGAATATTCATTACATACTTGTTTTGTTGCAGGGGATGTTGATACATTAGTTCATCTTGACTGATGCCCTTGACTTTAGAAGATAAATAGCAAAGCAGAGATAGGTGACAAGGATTGATTAGCAATCCAGCTTCTAAGCCAAAACATAAACACTTGTAGATAAGCCAGTAGCTAAAGAGCCTGCAGAATGCACCTTGGTGGAATTAAGAACACGTTTTAAGGTGCAAGAGGAGTTTTCTGTGCCTGCCAAGATACAAATCTTTATTTGATGCTTCCTGTTGAAGGCTTATGTTCACCCACGGTTTACTTCTTGGAAAATGACTTCCTAGTTTTGAAGGAAAAATCACCCGTTCCATTAATACAAATTAGTAATTCTTTTAAAGAGTGCAAATTACAGTTTGGACAGTGAAAGGTACTTGTGTTAAACTGAGCTTGAACAAATATAATTGTACATTTGCAGGAGTTATTAATTGATATCTTTCCTTTGCTGGAAACTTGGTAGGCTATTTCAGATAATGATCCTTAAGTCTAATGAGTGATGAGGACAGGGTAAGTAGGGACTGATGTGCCCCATTGCTTGTGAGACATCCAAAACCAGATGTTCAAAACACAAGCTGAATGAAAAATGAAACGCTGCTTTACTGGCAGCTACATGGTGGGACTTTCTGCCAGAGGATACTGCCTATCCTAAATACACATGGATACAACAAACAATTTGACAAATTCATAAATGTAAAATCCATTTTGGAATGGTGTATGCAAAGGACCTGCGGGCGCCTCAGACAGTCTTTGGGAGTCATAAATTTCTGGGCGACAGCGCCAAAGGAATACTGTAAACTCATTGTGGGTGTTCTGTATTGGGCATCTGCTTGTGTCAGGTCTTGGGAGATGGCATGGTTGGACTGTTGGACCACTGATATGAACAAAAGTGGTTGTCATACCATAAAAATCTAGAAATAACATTGTCTCTTCTTTCTGTGGTGAAACCTGGACCAGTCAGTCTCCTGACATGCCATCCAGCATTGCAGGTCACTGCCAGTTGTCACTTCTGCTCTCTTAAAAACTGTACAAGTGGCGCTGCCACCAGAAGACATTGTTACACATCCTGTCCCCAACGGCGAGGTCCTGCTGTCCCATCACCCGTAGCAGTGAGCACGAAGGGAGGGACCGTACCAGTACAAGCAGCAGAACCACCCCTTCTGGTAGCAGTGTCAGCTCAAAGGGCTTGTAACAAGCAGCAGAACCACCTCTCCTGGTAGCAGTGTCAGCTCAAAGGGCTTGTAGAATTTGGCAAAGATGTCAGAGCATCTTTCCAAAAAAACACATGCATTTTTGTGCTTTTGTAACTAGTGACCTCGCTGGCCGGGACAGCGACACACCGCATGACACACGGCATGACTGCCCTTACCTGGTCTGCTGAGGACGTTGTGGGTTGTGCTGTGAGTGCTGCCCCGAAAACCTTTTGGCTGAAACGCTGTACGCAGGGCACTTCTTCATTCATCTCTAGACTATTGTGTGGATATTTTGACTCAAAGAAAATGCCTAAATCGATTTAAAAATCAGTGTAGATTAGATTTTTACTGTCAAACTGCAATGATTTCCTGACAGGCAATCTCTCATACCCTAGCCTTACAAAGAAGCATCCGATTTAGCTTTACGCTTTAGCTATCCTAGCTCTTCAGATGATTTCTTTTGTTCTTCCTGCCTTATCCCCTTAACTGGAAGGGAGGGCAGGGGGTAAAAAAACCCTCAAAACCCCCCAAATCATCCTCAGATGATATGGATATTGCGAGTACAGGGTGCTTTAGCATATGTACCTTCTGTCAGCGCGTGCTTACTAAGAAACACAGGACATTATACACCGAAGCATTTCATTGTGCAGTCTGTGGGTCTTCACCAGTGCGGTGGTGTAAAAGGATGCTGTTATCCAGGCTTTACAAAACGCAGAAGGCTGCACAAAACAGTTGTCCAAGTGTTTTGGAAGAATTTAGGAATGGATCTCAGGCTCTCTATGTCTTCGCCTAAGCAGCCTGTCTCATGTACTGCTGCTCCTTTCTGAGCCGTCCTGCCCTTGCACATCTCTCCTTGCTCCTTGTGACAATTTGTTTGCTGCAAGGATTTACTCTGGCAGTAAGCTTATCCTGACTTACTTCCATGTCTCTTTACAAACAAGGCAGGAGAGAATGAAAGCATAGGAAAATGTGTACCTGCATACCTAAGAAGGAAAGAGGATTTGGGAGCTTTCAGGTAGATCCACCATAGCTGACTGGCTCCATAAACAAGTCACTTGCACGGTTATCACAGTCTATATTTATGCAATGGCAATAACCCAGAATTCAGGATTAATAAAGCATGCAAAAAAAGTTACTGTCCCAAATGATACAAACAGTCCTTTATCCTATGACCTCATTCCACTTGCATTTTCCTGGTACGTTCTGTGCCAGTGCTCTCTGGGTGTGCTGGGGGGGCATGTGGTGGTTTTTGTATGTATTACCTTTAACATGAATTGTGTACAAAATTTCTCTTTTCAGTTGTATACGAGCACCGGTCAAGATTAGAAAAGTCATTACAAAAGGAAAGGCTTGAACATAAGAAAGCGAAAGAAGGTAAAAAAGTACTTTTCACTTTGACATTTAACATAACTTGATTATTTTAGAAAGTAACTTCAGATGTATTTTGTTCAATTTTAAACGAGTTGCCAATGTATAACATGTTAGCAGGACTGCCTTGGCCGATCTGTAGTGATCTTTTTAGTATATCTTTTTAATTTTTTATTTTATTTTTTTAATCTTTTTAAAAAGTAATTATCTTTTTAGTACTGTTAGAGATCACTGCAACATGGCATAGTATACACAGAGAATATGTGTGTATCGAGGTACATAAACCAACATGTATGTGGAGTATGGGCATGTGTAAATCCTGTTCTGGAATGCTGAAAATTTACAGTTTTCGGACTAAAGCTTGTATTCTTCCTAAAACTGAGGACTCAGCCGCTGAATGGAAACAACTACTTTATCAAAGATTAAGAACATGTAAGAAATTATTCTTGCTGTGCAGTTCTCAATAGGTTTCTGGTGCCATCTAGTGTAGAGCTGTCCCATGGCTATGCAAAGGGGAGTCAGCGTTTTCAAATCCTGAAAAGAGGATCAAGGAACAAAAGGAGAAATTTTTGTTTTATTTAAACTTAGTGTAGACTTTCACACTTCTTAAAGTACGTATTTTTTTTTTAATCCTACACCACTTAGAAATGTCCTTTTCCTTTTGAAAGATGCTACTGGGCCTCTAATGAGAGAGTTCATGTGACAGATTTAATTACCCATCTGTAGTCTTGAGCCTGTACCCCCTGTATCTCACACTAAGATATGAAACTTAATGAAAGTATTCTATTAAAGTATGAAACATTTTAATGAAAATATTTTTGTCAAAATTTGAGCATTTTGTTAAATTCTCCATAGGTTGTTTTTAAGATCTTTTGGAAAACTGTAACTGCCTAAGTATTCAGCTCTTAAGAGAATTTATGTACGCAACAGTTATGCTATTTAAGTACAGATTCTAATCTTCCTGGGTTTTTTCATCAGTATTTTCCCTCTTATGTTGTAGATTTTCTTGTTTATAAACTAGAAGCACAGGAAACACTAAATAAAGGAAGGGTAAGTCATCATTCCTAGTACGAGGTTTTAATAGCTGATGCTATTTGAGTTGCAAGAAGAAGGAAATGCTTTGCAATTATGACAGTTCAAAGGAAGAAGTCTTACAAAATACGAATTGAAAGAGCTCTCGCTTTTCCCACTTCTGCTCCGCATGCATAAGTGCTTTGCAATTGCTAATTATTTGAGCTGCAGTAGGAGATACTAATATCTTTCCAGAAAATTACTTTAGAAAATATCCTCCCATTTATATTATGGTAGTTCAAACATAATGTTACTATTTTTAAGGGGAAGGGGGAATAAGAAAGCATTAGAAATCTTTTTGTAGCTTAGTCCACAGGGAAAAGGACAGTGACAGCTTTCTAACACATGGTCTTTGAACTGGAAAATATAAAAACATCAAGAAACTTTGTTTTATATACCAGCTGCCAAAAGGAAAGTCGTATCTGGCAAAGGACCCAGAGACCTGTAGAGAACTCATTATAAAAGCGAGTAAATTAGGATTTTTATGGCTATTTCGTGTTGAAACAGGGGAGCAGTTTGTGAGCTGAGTAACCTAAGTTAAAATACATTGTTGCTGCAGGAAGTGCAAAGTATATATGCTTGCTATGTTCTAAAGCAAGTGGAGAGATTAATTTGTTTCCTGGGGAGTTATGTCCCTTGGCTTGTGACTCCTAAATAACCGCATGTACAGAGGTTGGAGAAATGACAGTATTGTTCTATTTAACACTAGTGTTTTTGTTTTACAGCAAGACTCAAATAGCCGGTACAGCGCACTGAGTGTACAACACCAGATGTTGAAGGTAGGTAGCCGAGATTGCCAGTGTCCTGTGAAACTGGCTTTCTGCCCTGTCAAGGAGGTTTGGCCTGGCTGGCTTCTGGAAGTTCACTCCAGAACATCAGTACATCAATGGTGCCTTCCTCCTACACCACCACCACCGCTAAAAGGTGATTTACTGCAGTTTTTCCTAGTCAGGCTTTCCAGTGGGTAATTTAATCTTATCAAATGCAGTTACTTGTATGGAACGCTGACTTGTCAGACTTTACATAGTTTGGCATGTAAGGATTTTGTTAGACACATTCAGCAGCTCCCAGTGGGACAGTGCAACTGCAGGGTGAGGTGACGTAGCCCTGGAACAGGAGACTACTCATCACAGAGATCATTTGGTGTTTGAAGGGAGCTACAATATGCATGCTTTGAATAATAAACTTCTTGTTATGAATGCTTCCTATTCATCTGGACTTACTTAAACAAATTGCCAAAGACAATATTAGCCAGATATGCAGATACAGAACTGTTCCAGTGTCCCAACTTGGTATTTGCAGAGTCAACATGAAGAACTAAAGAAACAGCATGCTGACCTTGAGGAAGATCACCGAAAACAAGGAGAAGAGTTTAGCAGAACATTCAGTGATCACAAGGAGCGATACTTACAACTGCAGCAGGAAAAAGAGCAGGAGATCTCTAAGCTGAAGGGTATATGTAACCTACATCTGGCTGCCCATATTAAAAAGTGTATTTGTCATTGTTTTGTGTGATAGGAGACAGAAAGGCATTTTCTCTGTTCTCACTAACAGGTCATTCGTGCATCTTATGCCTCCTGATAAGCTACATTTTATTGATGATTTTCTGTGGCCTCTTTCTGAAATCTACTTGTATGTGTGCTTTCTGTTTCTATCTAGATTAGAGAAATAGTAAGAAACACAGCACTTTAAAAAGCCTGTCAAGTGTCAGAGGCTGGTGTATCCAGTCTTTCATTTTTAGTTCTAAGGCTTGTATAAATCTGGCAAAATAGGTTTGCCTCTTCACTCTTTTTTCTAATTAAAAGACAATCTAAGACTGTTTGCCACTGCTGTTAGAGATTTAATTGTGCATCATTATGAAGTGACTTTATATACATTTTAGACCTCCTCTTCTCGATGTGTATCAGCTTCTCTGAAACATGTTGCACCTGTATACTTGGATGATGAAATATTCATTTTTTACTGTTGGCATCCAGTTTCCTATTGAAGAGCTTCTTTGCAGTTCGCAGGCCTCTTCAATCCTAATTACACAATTGCATGGAACAAAAGGATGGGGCTCTCCCCATCAAGGGCCTTCAGCCACTTTCTGCCATGTGTCACTAACACATGAGTTAGTTTTGGAGCTGTCTGCAGTTTTGTCTGCACAGTATTTTGCAGGCAGAGGCTGTGTTTATGAGTTCTACCTTGGCACCACCCCAATGAAGTCATACAGCTAGCTCTTGGACTGAGCTGGATTGCAGCCTAGCAGCTTGGAGTGTGGGAAGAGCTTGCCTGTGTCTGCTTGCAATATTCCACATCAACATAATGTAAGAAGTGGGAAGAGAAGCCCCTCTCCCTGATCCCAGAATGTAAAGCTTTTTAAGTATGCTGGCCATCTGGGTGCCTCTTCCAAAAGAATAGCTTAGTCCTACGACGTAAAATTCGCACTCGCCAGATGCGATGTGGGGGAAGAGGGGAGGGTGGCTTCCTCTCTGCCTTTTAAAGATTCAGATTACCATAATGAATTTTGCCGTTTGCAGTCCCCAGCGTGAACAGTGATGCCTAATTCCAGTTGCGGACTGGGTGCACTAATATAAAACGTAACCAAATTTTACAATTTTCTGCTTGAAAATGTAAAGCTTTTTATAGGGCTAGGGAGAGATGCAACGTAAACAAACCATACAATTACTCTAATCCATTTTTACTATAGCAGTTGTGTAGGATTTTATGTAGTCCGTGTTACAGTTTTAATTTTGGTGCTTAATCTAGTATTATAAGTCTGACTGGGTTTAAATTCTGTATGTCATTTCTTTTAAACAGAATCCTTGTATAACTTACGGGAGGAGAACAGACAGTTGAGAAAAGCTCACCAAGACATTCACACCCAGCTACAAGATGTCAAGGTAGGCTTTGCTTTCAGAAAAACTTTCAAGACAATTAGGAAAAAGAAAAATTTTCCCAAGTTTGAACAAGCCAGAAATGGGCTATGCTGAAGACTTGTAGTTTCTATTATGTGGCAAAAAGGAGAGGAATATGACTGAACTGGAATTCTTGTATTTTGCCACCTGCACTTCAGGTACATGCTCACTTAAAAAAAAAAAAGGGGGGGGGGGGGGAGGG